ATATATATATATATATATATATATATATATGGCTTGCTAGAGTTTTACTTTTCCAAGTTGAAACAGATATAGCTTACCAAGACAAAACTTTGAAAAGTCTAAAAATCTTTGTTTGTCAAGTTAGACACTTGAGGAGATAGGGCATTATAGGATGAATATATAGAGTAATTCTTTATTGGAATTTTGGTACTAATCAATATACTATACTTAATTTTTCTGCTCATAAATCATAAACTTGATTATAAGATATGCAACAGTATTCAAAACGATTGTGATGAGACTGGTAGCCGAAAGAATATATCAGCATGCAGTGAAAGATGCAAGAATAAAAAAGTTATTAGCTCAGAGATATAAATGTTGGTCAATATACGCCTTCAAAATTGATATGTACTATGGCTACAAACCTAATTAAGAATATTTTTATAAAAATAAAGAAATAAAGGGGATTTTTCAGTAACAGAGGTCAACTAATGACATTAATAGTAAAGATTATCACAGATAGGTTAATTGCAAGAAGGAAACTAGAAAGAGGCAAGGGACACAACCTGTCAAAGAAAAATTGGAAAAACAAAAGGGTTATAAAAAAATCACATGATTCTCAATAGTACAAAATAGGGGTCATATGTGTGCCTTTGATCTAGTATATCTGTTAGCTCCGGCTAGCTACATGCTAACTCAAATGTTTTAATATCAAAATGTAAAAAATATTATTAGTCAGAGAAAATACAATATGGTTTTGTCCGACCATCGTCTTCTACATGTAAAATATTTTATTATATTGAATATACTAATTTCTGAGAATATTTGATTTGATGTGCGATGACTAGTGGTATTTTAGGCTTAATTTTCCTTACATTCCAACCAGTCCCACTTGCTAATAATGCACCCTCAACCTCTTACAGAAAGGAACCTTGCCAGAAGTAATCACTCTCTCTGTGGACATATATAGGGTTTCCTTTCATCTACACAATATTGGATCCATCAACACCAGAGGCCTCAAACACTACTTACTTCTCTGCCATCACTAGATATGCTTCAATCAACCTCTGCAAAATAGATTTCTGCGTCTCCAACAAAATTGGTTTTGTTGGATCTTGGAAACTAGGTTTGGCTTCTGTTTAATAATCTCTGGTCTCATCAGTTATCTTGGAAGGAATACTTTAAGCTGCTATTTAAGCTCCATCGTCACCAATGGTTTGCTCAAAACTACTCTATCTCTATTTCTCTTCCACCTTTTGAACAATTCAAATTGCTCAGTCTTCTCATCTACACTTTTTTTACTCTTTTAGTATAATACATACATATACATACACACACATATATATACATATATACATATATATATGCTTAATTTTTATGAATAACCAGTTGTTTGACTTCAAGTCTTGAGTTTTCTTGGTTGTAGATCTCATCCTTCTCTAGCACTTGAAATTAAAAAGGATTAGTTTGCTTCCAGAATTCTGATTGATCATGTTGTTTTGTGGAACTTCAAATGTGAGCGTATAGACATCTACCTCATCCCCTTAGAAACAGAAAACAAAAACATGAAAAAAGTAGGCCATATTTTGTTAGAGTGTGAAATAATAAAAAGAAAACAAACTAATATTCACAAGAATTAAAACTAAAACTATTTAGATCACGTACTGCACTTTCACTTAGATTTATTGTAGGTGGTGCGTTTTTCTATACATGTCATCACAATTTTCCAAATTGTAGGTTATATATTGGTTAGTGTGGAATTCCAAGACCTAGGAACAAGCAAAACTGGTAATAAATTTATGGTACAAATGTAAGAAGACACGGAGTCCTTCTAAAGCATCATGTATAGTGTCTTCAAGATCAGCACAACTGATTAAATTAAAACTACATTTAATTTTTTTTTTCCCACATGTGCAACATATCATCTTGGTTATGGCAATACTTTGAACAAATGACAAACTTATATTTTTGTTGTTTTTCTTACTTCACTCTATACCATCTCTCTACCTGCAGAAGAAAAGGAGCATATAGAATAAATTAATTTAATAGAAATGGATGAGAGAATTTGTATATCTGAGGAAGAAAAGAGTGAAAGTAGCAGACCCTCTTCTGCAAGTCTTAGAAGAAAACGTTCATTCTTCGATTTGAATGAAGAAGCTGTGGATGATGGAGATGGTAGCACCAGTGATGATCCCATCAGTAACAATGAGATATCATCTCAAGAGGGTAATTTGAGTAGTAACAATAACTCAAGTGATGAAGGGAAAGAGCGTGGAACTGCTGTTAGGCAATATGTTCGGTCCAAAATGCCAAGACTCCGTTGGACCCCTGATCTTCATTTAGCTTTTGTGCATGCTGTCGACAGGCTTGGTGGACAAGAAAGTAAGTGCAACTCACTTCAAGCATATACACTTTTTCTATGTACAATGAAGACAATGTGTTTGAACTTAAAAACTTACTCAAACTTTGACTACTTGTGTTACAGAAGGTTACTCAGACCCTCTTGAGAAACCTGCACAATTCCTCTTTCTATTCAAACTCACCAACTATTTAGAGCAATCCTCATCATGATCAGTTTTCAAGCCTACAAACTTTAATTACTTCTTCTAGTCATGGACTTTATTGCACGTGAATAAATGGAGAAATTAGGCAAATAAATTTGTTTTTCATTCTACAAGCTCATGGATTTTAATTACTTTAATTTCTGAAAGATTTTTTGAAATAATCCATTTCCAAACATTCTACAATCTTACGTTTTCTGTGATAATTTTCTGTACAGGAGCAACCCCCAAGTTGGTTCTCCAGTTGATGAATGTGAGAGGACTTAGCATTGCACATGTAAAGAGCCATTTACAGGTATAAATATACAACAATTGCTGCTTTATTGTACTCCAGCAAGAAATAGTTTTTCCAAATAATTTTTCTTGCAACGTCTTAGTTTATCTTTTTGGAATTCAGATGTATCGAAGTAAAAAGCTTGATGAGTCTGGCCAAGGTAAATTTTTCAGAACCTTAATATAGTAAAATCATGTTTTGATCGAGCTCGTTGCACGTGCCATGCCTATTTCATGGTTCCAAGGATTTTACATTACATGCATGATCATTCAGTTCATTGTGTTTTATTTCAGTTTTGTCTCAGAATAGGGCAATGCAGGGAAGGCACAGTATTTTCGATATGTATGGAAGACTCAATGCCCCACGACACTTTGTGGTTGATAACAGAAATTATGTTCCATCATCTCTGCTCATGGAACAATCACCTTATCAGATCAGTGCTCACTCTTCAAGGTATAGAAAGAAAACAGTCAATGAGGAAATCAACTATAATATATAATAATATCGATGAAATTCTGATATATCAGTAGTGTTTCTCTCTGTAGATTACACCCGACAGGGTTTTTCAATAGTCACCACATGATGATAAGATCTAGTTCAGTGTGGGACAAAGATCTGCGTAATTATCAGTATCAGCGTAGTTCTTGCAGTCCTAACTTCACTGGCCACGCCAAGTTTGATGCCGAGGTAATAAAACTGCTACCTTAATCACAATTTGATTTGCCTAATTATGAGAATAAGTAAATTAAAAGATTTTCTTATATATATGGTTTCTCTCCAATGCAATTCTATATACAACTTATTTTTTAAGCACCAATCCCCAGTTTATACAATGTTTTGCTTCTGATGAGATGTGAATGTGGCAACGATAGCTTTAACTGCTGCATTTTTTTTAAGAATTGACATCGTTTCTTTAATTGAGAGGCATATTCAAACACGTATTTAATAACCTTTAAAAAAAGAAGAAAACGAGTCAATACGTTTAATTTATTATGTGTGAAAAGTATTATATGATAAAATGTTTTCTTTACAAAAACTGTTGACTTGACTTAATTTGTATCTAAGTTTTTAGTTTTTTTCTTCCCTTTAATTATACATTTACTAATGAAATACATTTACGTTTATTTGGGATGGATTTGTACGAAGAAAACCGTATTACAAAAAAATACTTTGTCATCTACAATTTTTTTAACATAAACATTTTTAATTTTAATTTGTATATTGTAAAATAAAAAAAGAGTGTTTATTTTTCTCTTTTATTTCAATTTGGGATAAAAGAACTTTTCATTGAATCTCTTATACTTCTTCCATTTAACTTTTTCCTCTCAAACAAAAGGTAAAAATTTAGTAAGTTTATCTTACCTCTCTTCTTCGTATTCAAATATGCAAGGGAATGGGGTGTGTATTCGCCATAACTAATTTTATAATTTAAAAGAAATTGTCTTATTATGATATTAGTCATTTAAATATACTTACAATGTGCTATCATTGAATTATATTTTATCAAGCATAAAAGAGCTGCTGATTTTCCTAGTACTAACATTCTAACACATACATCTAAGATTATTTTTAATTTATAGATATCTTAACATCTAGCTAAGAAGCTAAATTTCAGTAGAAAAAAGAGGGTTGAATTTTGGAGTTCCATTTGTGAGTAGATATAATAGCTAAGGTAATGTTTGGTTTTGGAATTTTAGGTTGGTGATGTGAAAAATGGAATGCCAGAATTCCTTAATCAGGTTCAAGTAAGGAAGCAAGGTGAAATGAAAGATGAATATGAGAAGAAAGGGACTATGAGTTTTTTGGAGGTGAAAGATTCAAGAAAAAATAAGAAAGATGATGCAGAAAGTGAAGAAGAAATTAATACGAGACTGTCTCTTTCACTGTTCACTTCATCATCCTCAAATTCATCACAACAAGCACAGTGTAGTGAAAATCATAAAGACGATACTCATGTTGAGAGTTTTTGTTTACAAAATTATGCAGCGAGGAGTCGTTTGGGCTGAGTACTTATTAGGATCTTAACTGTGTCAAATAGAGCATAGGGGTGAGATCTTTTAAGTACTTG